AGGCTGGTCCTGCCCAGGTTAGAGTTCTTGTAAAGCACCATCTGATTGTGTGTTTTCTGGTGGCTACGATAAGCTGATTTTTGGAGGAGGGACCAGGCTGGCTGTACACCCATGTGAGTATGACCCTGCAAGTGACCAGTGCAAAAAGAACTGACCACTTGTCTATGAGAAAACAGGTGATGATTTATGGCAAACTTGGGGATCTATTGAGAAGCACTCATTTTCCATTTCTACAAGCTCTCTTGGTGACATAAAATGTTCCCATTTCTCATACTAAACACAGAAGTGCCAAGAGCCAACTGAGTAAATGAAAATCTGAGCAGAATAATTTATAGAAACATAAAAAGAGTCCCAAATACTCAGTGCTTTCAAGCGAAGCTGATAATATCGGCACCAGATAATCTGAACATTCAGGAAATTAGCAAAGTGCCCTTGGGGGAAAGAGATGAGTTAATGGCAAACACAAATTCTCTTTTATTGCAGCAGGTAGCTAAATTCCCTGAAGTGGCTAATAAACATGGTATGGGGATCCCTACCCATAGCATCTTCCTCTCTGCAGTTAGGAGAGTTTTCGACTTCCTCCTAAGGGTAAAAGTGGCCCAGACCCCTAACTGAAGGGCAAGTATACCACACGCAATTATAAGGTATAGAGGCAGCAGTGTATAGGGAGGCCCACAGACCTGGGAAAAATTCAGGCTGTACTCTCACTGGCTGTTTTCAATAAAGCCTCCACTTTCTCAACAGCAAAATGACTGTAACTACATCCTAATAATATGAGATAATGGCCAGAATGTAAAAAGTGATCAATAAGTAGTAGCTTTTCTAAAATATTATTATAATTATTATTACTGAGGCTTTGCTTATACTAAGGTTTACACTATCATAAAGGGAAAGGGGAATAGCTTCTGTGGGAAGCAACAAAGACCCAGTGAGCCTTTTAGAATGTTGCTCTGAGACCCCAGTGGGTTCCAGCAGATTAGCATCAAGAAGGTTATCTCAAAGACCTTACCCACAGTGGGGGTACAGCAGTGCTTCCAAGATAATCTTTGGATCAGGGACCAGACTGAGCATCCAGCCAAGTAAGTAGAATGAAGCAGGAGAGCAAGGGAGGATGGACAACTATTTCTTCTTTGTCCAAAATGCCGACTTGAGCCCAGGTATTTTCCTCTGTGGGCTCCCAAATAGTTTCTTCCACCCATCCCCAGAAAATCCTCCCATCCAGCACTCAGTGCTCTGCAGACATCATCCTTAGGCTGGGACCTTAGGAACCATGAGGCAGGCGATGAGCAAGGACTCCTGAACCTTCCACAAACGTATCCAAGATACTGCTGCCTGGAATTGAGGTTTTTGTTCTACTGAATTCTTAGTTAATTGAAACCATATGAAATCACAACCTCAGCTGAGGGAACCACAGCAGAATGGAGCAGGAGGAGAACTGTACATATCAGAAGCGAAATTTCAGTGCAAAAGAGCAGAAGGTCTAACTCTTAGGAGTGTGATTCTCCTGCCTTGTAGGGGAGATCAGTGTTTCTCTCATTTAAGTAACAGGTAGGTCCTGTGAATTTCTGCAATGGTGTCACCCATAGTGTGAATACTGGAGGAACAATTGATAAACTCACATTTGGGAAAGGAACCCATGTGTTCATTATATCTGGTGAGTCATCCCAGGTGGCACCACTTGCAACCCCATGGGCCAGTGTCGCTAATCCTTTCTCTGGGGATATCACTTATTATCATGGTGAGGCTTGCTGAAGATGTTGTAACTAATTGTCTTACAGAGGTCTGGGAAGGGAAAAGCATCACTATCTGTCTTGAATATTCATGTTTTCTCTAGGTCAAACACATTAAAATTTGACTTTAATCATTCAATGGGTATTGTAAAATGCCTTCTATGTGACTATCACTCTATAAAATGCTAGACTGAGTATGAAGTGTAAGATAGATTCCTGTCCGGTCCTCAAGTGGTATAAAAACTAGACAAAGGTACAGAACTGTTGTAAATTAAGCAGCCCGAAAACTATTCTAGTATTGACCAGTTGATGACATCAATGGACACAATAGAGATTCAGAGGGGATAGGGTGCTGGCTGAAAAGTTGGCCTAGATTGAGAAGTTTCATGTGGTACAAAGGATTCATTGAGCCCTGAAGGATGGATAAGATCTGTATGGGCAGAGAAAGGAGAGAAGGGGAGTTCTGGGCATAGGGAACAACAAGAAAGAAGGCATGATCCTGGGAATAATGAAGGCACATGCATTGTAGCCTAAGTATACATCTGATAATAAAATTGGTTGAAAAGTACTCAGAGAACATGTCTTTTTAGGCATGGAAAAAGGAAATACTAGAGCATGAAAATACAGAAATTAGGGCCGGGCCAGCCAGCCATTGGGAAACTGAGAATCCGATTTAGAGATGCAGACCAGAAGTGAAAGTGAGAGGAGCCAGCTACGGTGCTGCAGACCTCCCCTCTCCTTCCTCAGTGGGCTCTGAGAGGCATCATCCCACACCTTAGAGGAGGAGAAACCTAAGGGATTCTGTAATAGAGACACTGGGAGTGGTATGAAGGTGTTACCTCCCAGTAGCAATTTGGCAAAGGAACCAGAGTTTCCATTTCTCCCCGTATGTCTGCCCATGCCCACAGTTTCCTGATGCTCACTAGAACCTCAGTGGGACCCAGAGCCAGTGTCACTAATTCTGATTTCTGGGTCCCTAGTGCCCAACTACAGGGGACAGATTTAATGGTAAGGGAGCCTTCAAGCACTGCTGTGTCCCTAGGGACTTAAAGCACTAGAGCACATGTGCTTCTGCAGTTCATTTTGAATGTAAAGGACAGTTTAGGATCTAGAATAGCTGAACTTCCACATCAAAAAATTGGTTCCGTCTTGCCAAGCCTACCTTCTGATATCGTCAGTGATGGGATGTGTTATTCTTACTAGGGTAGAATAGGATGTCTGTCCCCAAAGGGTTCTGGCAGGCAGACCCCTAAACACCTCCAAATTAAAAGTGGCAAAGAGATAAAGTTGAACTAGAGGTACATGGGAATAAAAAGTATAAAAGGTACATGGGATGAAAGTATAAAAAGGCTTAAAAAAACTCAGTACCTCTAACTCAGCCCCTGTTGCCATTTCTCGGAGTCTTGTGTTCCGTGGCATTGCACTTTCTATACCAACAGTGTCCAGTAGAACTTTCTGTGGCAATGGAAATGTTCTGTCAATCTCCACTGTCCCATGCAATGGCCACCAGCTACATGTGGCTATTGAGCTCTTGAAATGAAGTTTCCATTTTTAATTGAAAACATTTTATTTCACATTGACTAATTTTCATTTCAACAGCCACATGTAGCTAGAGACTATTATACTAGACAGAGCAGCCTAGATCTTCTCCAGTCTGACACCCACTGGCCCCAGGACTTGAGTGAGTGTTTAACCAGGACTCAAAGTTGGGTTTCTGCCCCACAAAGCCGCCCACTTTCCCTGATCAGGGGCCACCAGATGCAGATTGGCTTGAGGATCAGCACTTCCAGACTCTTCTCTCCCCCTCTGCAGTGCTTCCCAAGACCCCCACTGATGACTAACAATCAGGGGGACGTGTTGGTGGAGCTAATGGCTTTCTGTCTGTCCCTTCCCAGCAAAGGAACTATGCCTTAGGGCCTTCACCCAGAGAGATGTCAGGCTGCCCAAGTATAAGGAGGTTGGAGGGAAGTTGGCAGAATCCTCTGAAGCCACAGCTCTGGATGTCTCTCCCCTCTGACCATGGAGCCCACCCCTGCTCCAGTGCTCCAGGGGCAGCCACATGCTGCAGGCAACTCTGCCTCCACTCAGCATCCCAGGGGCTGATTTCTTTGGTTTTGGATCCAGCTGGATGTCGGCATTGCCGAGGCCACCATGGTTGGCTTACCAACTGTCGGGGAATCACCAGGGTCTGAGAAATCTTGTGTGTATGTGAGGAGCTGTGGGAGCAGAGAACCACTGGGTGGGAAATTCTAATCCCCACCCTGCTGGAAACTCTCTGGGTGGCCCCAACATGCTAATCCTCCGACAAACCTCTGCTTCCTCCTCAAAAGGCAGGAGGTCGGAAAGAATAAACAATGAGAGTCACATTAAAAACACAAAATCCTACGGAAATACTAAAGAATGAGTCTCAGCACTAAGGAAAAGCCTCCAGCAGGTCCTGCTTTCTGAGGGTGAAGGATAGACGCTGTGGCCCTGCATGACTCACTAGCACTTTATCACAGCTATATTCTGCCAGGGTCAATGGCTCCAACTAACATTTGTTTGGTACTTTACAATTTATTAAATAGATTTTTATATGGAGAAGCTCTCATTTCTTTCTCAGAAGAACCTGGCTAGGAAGGTGGATGAGGCAACATATTCATTTTGCAGATGAAATTCCTGAGACATAAGGAGCTGCTGTGACTTGCTCAAGGCCTTATATCGAGTAAACGGTAGTGCTGGGGCTTAGACGCAGGTGTTCTGATTTATAGTTCAAAACCTCTATCAATGAGAGTGAAATCTCCTGGTGATATGATAGATTTCCCAACTTAATGCCAACATACCATAAACCTCCCATTCTGCTAATGCCCAGCTTAAGTTGGGGAGACCACTAGTTTGCTTTGCTCGGCCTTCTTTCCATGCCTGCCTTTGCTCTGCCAGAGTTATATTGCTGGGGTTTTGAAGAAGATCCTATTAAATAAAAGAATAAGCAATATCATTAAGTAGCCCTGCATTTCAGGTTTCCTTGAGTGGCAGGCCAGGCCTGGCAGTGAATGTTCACTGAAATCATGGCCTCTTGGCCAAGATTGATAGCGTGTGCCTGTCCCTGAGTCCCAGTCCATCAAAAACAGCTGGTTTCTAAAATGCTGTTTCCCATATAAAGCATGAGACCATGACTTGCCAGCCCCATGGAACCCCGTTCTTGTCCATCACTGGCATCTGACTTCAGCCTGGGTTGGGGGAAAGAAGGAAATGAGATCATGTCCTAACCCTGATCCTCTTGTCCCACAGATATCCAGAACCCTGACCCTGCCGTGTACCAGCTGAGAGGCTCGAAATCCAATGACACCTCTGTCTGCCTATTCACTGATTTTGATTCTGTAATGAATGTGTCACAAAGCAAGGATTCTGACGTGCATATCACAGACAAAACTGTGCTAGACATGAGGTCTATGGACTTTAAGAGCAACGGTGCTGTGGCCTGGAGCAACAAATCCGATTTTGCATGTACAAGCGCCTTCAAGGACAGCGTTATTCCAGCAGACACCTTCTTCCCCGGCACAGGTAAGGGCGGCTTTGGTGCCTTCGCAGGCTGTTACCTTGCTTCAGGAGTGGCCTGGTTCTGCCCAGAGCTCTGGTCAATGATGTCTAAAACTCCTCAGATTGGTGGTCTTGGCCTCATCAATTGCCACAAAACCCTCTTTTTACTGAGAAACAGTGAGCCTTGTCCTGGCAGTCCAGAGAATGACACGGGAAAAAAGCAGATGAAGAGAAGGTGGCAGGAGAGGGCACTGGGCCCAGCCTCAGTCTCTCCAACTGAGTTCCTACCTGCCTGCCTTTGCTCGGACTGTTTGCCCCTTACTGCTCTTCTACGCCTCATTTTAAAGCCCTTCTCCAAGTTGCCTCTCCTTATTTCTCCCTGTCTGCCAAAAAATCTTTCCCAGCTTACTAAGTCAATCTCATGCAGTCACTCATTAACCCACCAACCACTGGTTGTGCCGGTACATGAATGCACCAGGTGCTGAAGTGGAGGAATAAAAGTCAGATGAGGGGTCTGCCCAGAGGAAGCTCCATTCTAGTTAGGGGAGCCCATCTGTCAGCTGGGAAAAGTCCAGAAAACTTCAGATTGGAATGTGTTTTAACTCAGGGTTGAGAAAACAGCCACCTTCACGACAAAAGTCAGGGAAGGGCTCTCTGAAGAAATGCTACTTGAAGGTACCAAGCATACCAAGGGCAGGCAGAGGACCCTATAGAGGCCTGGGACAGGAGCTCAATGAGAAAGGAGAAGAGGAGCAGGCATGAGTTGAGTGAAGGAGGCAGGGCCAAGTCACAGGGCCTCCTAGGCCATGAGAGGGCAGACAGTATTCTAAGTATACCAGAAAGCTGTTGATCAGCTTCAAGCAGGGGAGGGACACCTAATTTGCTTATTTTATTTATTTTATTTTATTTTATTTTATTTTATTTTATTTTATTTTATTTTAAGACGGAGTTTTGCTCTTGTTGCCCAGGCTGGAGAGCAATGGCGCATCTCAGCTCACTGTAGCCTCCGCTTCCCAGGTTCAAGTGATTCTCCCGCCTCGGCCTCCCGAGTAGCTGGGATTACAGGCTCCCACCACCACACCCAGCTAATTTTCTGTATTTTTAGTAGAGACAGGGTTTCACTATGCTGGCCAAGCTGGTCTCAAACTCCTGACCTCAGGTGATCCACCCGCTTCAGCCTCCCAAAGTGCTGGGATTACAGGCGCGAGCCACCACACCCGGCCTGCTTTTCTTAAAGATCAATCTGAGTGCTGTATGGAGAGTGGGTTGTAAGCCAAGAGCAGAAGCAGAAAGGGAGCAGTTGCAGCAGAGAGATGATGGAGGCCTGGACAGGGTGGTGGCAGGGAGGTGACCAACACCATTCAGGTTTCAAAGGTAGAACCATGCAGGGATGAGAAAGCCAAGAGGGGATCAAGGAAGGCAGCTGGATTTTAGTCTGAGCAGCTAAGTCAATGATAGTGCCATTTTATTAAGATGAAACCAAGGAACAAATTTGGGGTACAAGGATCAAAACTTTTTGGAACACATGAAAGTACCTGTTTATACTCTTTACGGCCCTTGCCACTGTGTATGCCTCACTGCCTCCATTGGACTCCAGAATGAAGCTACGCAAGAGCAGGGTCTATGTGTGATGGCACCTGTGGCCTATGTCATGCAACATGTACTTTGCACAAACAGTGTATATTGAGTAAATAGAAATGGTGTCCAGGAGCCAAGGTATCAGTCCTGCCAAGGCCAGGGGCTCTCCCTAGCATGTGCCCGTGTGCTGTAAGTTCCCTCCAGATCTCTCCACAAGTAAGCATGGAAAGGCTGTAGATGTTCACCTGCCCAAGAACTAGGAGGTCTGGGGTGGGAGAGTCAGCCTGCTCTGGATGCTGAAAGAATGTCTGTGTTTTTCCTTTCAGAAAGTGTCTGTGATGCCAACCTGGTTGAGAAAAGCTTTGAAACAGGTAAGACAGGGGTCTAGCCTGGGTTTGCACAGGGTTGCAGAAGTGATAAACCCGCAATAATCCTGCCTGGATGAGGGAGTGGGAAGAAATGAGTAGATGTGCGAATGAATGATGAGGAATGGAAACAGCAGTTCAAGACCTGCCCAGAGCTGGGTGGGGTCTCTCCTGAATCCCTCTCACCATCTCTGACTTTCCATTCTAAGCAGTTTGAGGATGAGTTTCTAGCTTCAATAGACCAAGGACTTTTTCCTAGGCCCCTGTATTCCTTACAACAGCTCCACTGTCAAGAGAGCCAGAGAGAGCTCCTGGGTGGCCCAGCTGTGAAATTTCTGACTCCCTTAGGGATAGCCCTAAACTAACCAGATCATCCTGAGGACAGTTTCACAGCCAAGAGGTTTTGCCTTCTTTCAAGAAAAGCAACAGTACTCACATAGGCTCTAGGCAATGGTCTTGTCTCTCAAGAACCCCCCACCACTCCTCACACCCACGCTGGGCCCATATTCATTTCCATTTGAGTTGTTCTTACTGAGTCATCTCTCCCGTGGTAGCGGAACTCACTAAGGGGCCCCTATGGACCCCAGGGATTGAAATGATAAATTCTGAGCAGCTACCCCATCCCCAGAAGGGCTCGGAAATAAAATAAGAGCCAAGTCTAGTCGGTGTTTTTGTCTTGAAACACAAAATACTGTTGGCCCTGGAAGAATGCACGAAATATGTTTGCAAGGGGATATGCACAGAAGCTGCAAGGGAGAGGTGATGCAGGAGCCGCAGGCCTCCCCCACCCAGCCTGCTCTGCCTTGGGGAAAACCATGGGTGTGTCCTGCAGACCATGCAGGCCTGGGACATGCAAACCCATAACCGCTGTGGCCTCTTGGTTTTACAGATATGAACCTAAACTTTCAAAACCTGTCAGTGATTGGGTTCCGAATCCTCCTCCTGAAAGTGGCCGGGTTTAATCTGCTCATGACGCTGCGGCTGTGGTCCAGCTGAGGTGAGGGGCCTTGAAACTGGGGAGTGGGGGTTAGGTACGCGGGTCTCTGGGTGCACCCTAAGCTCTGAGAGCAAGCCTCCCTGCAGGGTCTTGCTTTTAAGTCCAAAGCCTGAGTGAGCCCACCAAACTCTTCTATTTCTTCCTGTTACAAATTCCTCTTGTGCAATAACAATGGCCTGAAACACTATAAAACATGCTCATTTCAGCCACCTCAGTTGAACTTCTCCCCTATGAGGTAGGAAGAACAGAAATGAAGAAACTGAGGCCACACAGCTAATGAGTGGAAGAAGAGAGACACCCGTTTACACCGCATGCCTTGTGCTGTACTTCTCTCACCATGTGACCTAAAGGGACCCCCAAGGCCTCTCCTCATGTCCTCTCTCCCCATATGGCCCTCTTAGCTCAGTAGAAAGAAGACATTACACTCATATTATACCCTAATCCTGGCTAGAGTCTCCACGCCCTCCTCCCCCAGGGTCCCCAGTCATCTTGCTGACAACTGCATCCTGCTCCATCACCATCAAAAAAACTCCAGGCTAGGTGCGGGGCCTCACGCCTGTAATCCCACCACTTTGGGAGGCAGAGACAGGAGGAGCACAGGAGCTGGAGACCAGACTGGGCAACATAGGGAGACCCCGCCTCTACAAAAAGTGAAAAAATTAGCTGGGTGTGGTGGTGCACACCTGTAGTCCCAGTTACTTAAGAGGCGGAAATGGGATGATCGCTTGAACCCTGCAAGATCAAGGCTGCAGTGAGTTGTGATCATGCCACTGCACTCCAGCCTGGAAGACAAAGCAAGATCCTGTCTCAAAAAAATAAAAAAATAAGAACTCCAGGATCCATTTGCTCCTAGAACTCTACCACACAGCCCCAAACAGAGCCATCTCCATCACACCCCTAACAGTCCTGGGTCCTCCTCAGTGTCCAGCCTGACTTCTGTTCTTCCTCACTCCAGGTCTGCAGGATTGTAAGACAGCCTGTGCTCACTCGTTCCTTCCTCTGCATCACCCCTCCTCTCCCTCTCCAAGCAAAGGGAGCTCTCCCACCCCCATGGAGGAGAAAGCTGCTACCACCTCTGTGCCCCCCGGCAATGCCACCAACTGGATCCTACCCAAATTTGTGATTAAGATTGCCGAAGAGCTGCCAAACACCGCTGCCACCCCCTCTGTTCCCTTATGGCTGCTTGTCACTGCCTGACATTCACGGCAGAGGCAAGGCTGCTGCAGCCGCCCCTGGCTGTGCACATTCCCTCCCGCTCCCCAGAGACTGCCTCCACCACCCCACAGATGATGGATCCTCAGTGAGTTCTCTTGAGCTCTAGGTCCTGGAGAACGTTGTGAGGGGTTTATATTTTTTAAATAGTGTTCATAAAGAAATACATACTATTCTTCTTCTCAAGACATGGGGGGAAATTATCTCATTATCGAGGCCCTGCTATGCTGTGTATCTGGGTGTGTTGTATATCCTGCTGCCAATGGCTTCATTAAAATGGTTTGGAAGAGCAGAGACTGTGCCTCTGTTTGACTGGGTTTGGTTGCAGTCATTTTCTGCTTGCTGGTAATCACTAGCTGGGCAGAGAAAAACCAAGGCATTTGTCTATGATGCGGTCCAGGAAGCCTCATTCAACAAGCTGCCTAAGTCAACCTCTTCTTGGAATAACCTCTAAAAGCTTCCGCTTAGCAGGCTATGCTGAGGGCCGGGAAAACCCACCTACCGGCTTGGGCCCCTTCGCTTCCACTCTCATGCCACGCCACGGGACCACCCATAACAGGAGCCCATACACATGGGTGGCAGTGACCTGCAGCAGACAGGGACCACACAGCAAGTGTCCCCAAAATGCCACCCACATCTCCTGCCCTCCAGGAGCATTTCCTTTGCCTCTCCTCTCAGACTGGGTTTCCACTGAAACTGCATTGTCTCACAAATGCATGGCTGGGGACCACCCACCACTCTGCTGCCTGGCCCAGCCCCACGCCAGCCCTTTGAGGTGCCCAATCTGACAGCAGGAGCAGGGTTGAGAGGAGACTGTGGCCCCAGCAGGACTTTATGTTCCCACCATCCCGGATGTGAGAATGAGGAAAAAGGAGATGAGTTGTCTCCCCATGAGCCCAGAGATTTGACCGAGGAGAGTCGATGCCCTGAGCTCTCCCCTGGAAGAAAAGACATGGGGCTCCCTGGGGTCCACAGCACACTGTGCTCTCCCTCCTGAGACTCCTGCTGCCAGAGCACCTTTCCCCAGGGTCAGGGATGCCGAGGGGAACACAGCTTAGAGACCACTCCCCCATCCACCCAGCAAGCACAGCTACCAAGACCCAAAGCTGAGGCTTACCAACGCCCGGCGGTGGGAGAGGGTTCCATCCCTGAATACCTCCATGGTTCCCCTATGCGTCTGACCCTCCCAGCCAGAAATACGTAAATCTTCTCAGTTACAGCTCAGGCCTGCTTTTTTTCATAGGGAAGAAGCTACAGGTTGAGTATCCCTTCTCTGAAATGCATGGTACCAGAAGTGTATCAGGTTTGGGATTTCTTTTCTTTTTGAGTCGGAGGTAGAATATTAGCCTTATACTTACCAGTTCGACATCCCTAATCTAAAAATCTGAAATCCAAGATGCCCCAGTGAGCATTTCCTTTGAGCATCATGTGGGCACTTAAAAAGCTTCAGATTTTGGAGCATTTCACATTTCAGATTTTTGAATTAGGGATACTTAACCTGTATCAGCTTTAATAGGTGACCTAGAGCACACCCCTGCCCTCTACAGGCTTATGTGTCGCCACTTACGAAATGTCGGGTAGGACTGGAGGCTACCTCCCACTCCCTGCACCGCTGATTCTGTGCCCCCTGTAGAATTAAGAACCAGTGTCCCCTCTCCTGGTCAGCCCTACTGAGGGGAGTCACAAAATCCCCAGTTCTTTCTAAGCTGCCCCATCTCTCACCTACATCCAATCCCCTTAAAGATCACCAAAGGGAAAGGGCTCAGAACTCCATCACAGCAGGGCCACCCTCACACATGGTAGGACTGTAGCACCTTCACAAAGGTGGGGTTTGCCACCTTCGGGGAACTCTGGGGGGCCTCTAACTCCTCACCAGTCTGACACAATGCCAGAGATTCCACCATTGGGAATTTCTTATAATTAAAGCATTCTCTTCCCTGTATTAAATGAAAATGCCCTTGGGAGGGTTAATAGAGCAAGCCTTTATCAACCATTAAAAACTGAGGGCCAGTTAGTTTCTCTTTCTTTTCCCCCTGAAGTGGTAATTCATTTTGCTTTGTAGAAAAAAGATTCAGGCGAGGGAAGTGTGGGTGACTGGGGAGGCAGGTCTGCTCTTTTGAGTTGGCTGCAGTGACATAGAGGTCATGGGGCTGAGGGAAGGAAACAGGAGCCTGGAAAGCAGTGAAGGGGTGAAAGATAGACCCCTGCAATAATCTTAGAGGCGACCCAGACTGCAGGAGACCTGCAGGAGGCCTGCGGGAGCCTGTGGAGGCCTGTGGAGGCCTGCCAGCCCAGTGCCCTCAGAGAGCAAGGACAGTCACTGGTCCCCCAAGGCCTCCCACAGATCTATGCAAGGTGATGCAGCAGGGGCTATGGACCCACCCACACCCAAGCAAGGAGGCAGGATGACAAGGCCAGGGCAGGTAGGGAGCCATCTGGAGAGCGGGCTCAGCTCCACCCCTGAGAAATTTCCATCTAAATCCAGGAGATGCTCTATTCAGCAAGAACCTTCCCTCACGTCTGAGGCTGTTAAACCTAAAGCCAGTTAGGGCAGAGGTCAGAGGGGTGGACCAGGAGCAAGTGGGTTGAGGCTGAGCAAGTGTTGGGGGTGGGGCCAGAGACTCCATCCATCTCCGACTGCTCTGCTCGCATGTCTGGCTCCGGGCCCACCTGGGATGTCAGAGGGAATTAGCGTGGCCTTGTGAGAAGGCTCAGGAGAAGGGCTCCTGTGCCCACCGGGCAGGTCAGCACTGAGCCTAGCACCACCACAATAAAGACCCTCAGTGCAGAGGGCCCAGCTATAAGGAACTGGGCATTGCTTGGCCTGGAGGGAATAGGAAGCTGAGGAGACCTGGAAACACAGTCATGAAGAGCCCGGCCGTGAACACCCACAGACCCTGCGAGCCAGGGCCATGGGCTGCAGCTGCAGCTCTACCAGCCTGGACCCAACCTCAGGCCAACATCCCAGCAGGGAACATGTTACTAAGGCCAGCTTTAGAAGGGACTTCTCTGGACACATGCCCTACTGTCCCAAAAGACTTAAGCACAGGCCAGTCCCAAAGGCATAAGAATGGACTAAATGAGCTCTCGTGGCCCCAGGCCTAAGATTCTAGAGGACTCTCTGAAACTTCACTCGGAGACCTGACCTCTGAGGGCAACTGGAGTCACAGCCACTCAGGCGAAACGGCAGGCTACGCAAGCACGTGTTTCAGGAGCGTCCTGGTGCGGTCTTCAGCTCCGACAGAGCAACCCCTCTGCTGTTACCCTTACTGGGGGCAGCCATCTGAGTCTTAAGGGTTTGCTTATTTTTTAGGTCCAAACATAAAATTCAACTCCCCTGGGATCATGTATACAGACAGACCTATAGCACCTTATTATCAGGTACCATCCTGGTGAGGAAGTCCCCTGACCTGTGTGCTCTGTGGGACGGGAATGTTCCTTGTCATCAATGTGTCCCCAGGAACTAGAACAGTGCCTGGCACACGACAGATGCCATTAAATAAATAAGTGAATGACTCCTGCAGTTAGGCTCTGGGTGGGGGGAGCTGAGTGTGAGGAGTGGGGAGTACAGGAGAAAGGAAAGTGGGGATTAGTAGAGGAAGTGGTCAGGTGAGTCAATGTTTCACAGTTTTGCCAAGAGCTAAAGTAACTTGTCAAGAACTTCAGAACAAGCAAAACCTGAGTGGTGGCCCCTTGGTCAGGGCAGCCCCCAGGCAGGCACACATCTATCCAATGAAGCCTGGAGGACAGGGACTGTGGGAAAGCACGCAGGGTAGCTGGGAGTCTGACCTCACTGTGTGACCACACCGAGGTCCGGGGCCAACAGTCACTTTATGTGGGTTCACCTCAGTTTCTCCATGAGTCCTACTCTAAAACCCATCTACCTCCTTGATCCATGTGTGGGAAGACGAGCTTCTGACTGGGATGAGTCTGGGGGAGCAAGCACATGGAGACCCAGTGCTGTCATTCTGGCTGCGGGAAGGCTGCAGGACCACCAGCGCCCTGCGTCTGCGTCAAGGCCCCCTGGGCAACGCGGTGAGGGGTGGGGGGTGCAGGCCTCCTTTCACACAGAGACACACATGCCTGAGGCCTCTCTGCGTAGCACACACAGAGCTATCTTTTGCAATTAATAAACAGGTCAGACATTGAGTCAGTAGCCACAAGTAGAACAGGAAGTGGAAAAAGTCTCCCACTTCCCTCCAGGTGTTTGGGGGCTGGGGCGGTCCCCTCCCATTTCCATGATGTCATGGTTACCAAGAGGGGCAAGTAGGGCACCCTTTGAAGCTCTCCCACAGAAGCCACATCCTCTGGAAAGAAGAGTTAAAAATACTGAGTTAGAGATAGCATCGTCCCAGGCCACGTGCCGAGGGGAGCAGGCTGGGCCGTTACACCACCCGCCAGCCGCAGGTGCAGCAAGGCCAACACGCCAGGCTGGGAGGGGCTGCCGGCCCCTCTGTGACTTGCACCGGGCCCGCTGCCTGCTGGGGCGGTGCTGCTGGCCCCACTGCTGAGCCGCCTCCCTCACCGCACCTCTGCTGCCCCTCCAAACCAGCCAAGATCAGACCTCGATCTCACCTGGTTAAGCGCTTACTTAGTACAGGATAGACCCTCAGGGCTCTCCTGGGAGGGAGGGATGTGGGGAGGCTGTATCTGTCCCCACACACAGCTAGGGCTGATTCTCTGAGGGACCCCCTTCAATAGCCCCCCCTTACCCTGATGTTTGTCCATTAGGTGATGGCCCTAATGGACGCCTTGATGGACACATCCGGGACCCAGGGACCCGGAGACCAGGAATCTGCAGGTCTCCGGGAGCCGCAGAACCTGAAACCCAAAAATACCAGGCTTGATCGCCGGCTCTTTGGTAGTGTCGCCATCCACCCGCATGGGGGCAGCAGCGCTCCACCAAAAAGACCTCTCCTCCCTTAGTCTGTTAATTCTGGAGACAGAAAGCCTCCAAGGTTTAGGAAAAGCTCTTTTCCGAGGAAAATAAAAGGGCGGGTGACTTTTATCCCACAAGTCCCTGCCCTGTGCCCGTCACTTTGCTGGGCGCAAGACCTATGTTATCCTGTCACATCCCCACAGAGAGGAGGGGCTTGGGGCTGGGCCGGCAGCAGGGGGCGCTGCTCGTCCGGGATCGTCAGACCCGCTCCACCTGGAGCTCTGCAGAAAGTGCAGAGGGAGGGCTGGGGGCCCGGAGGAAGCCTTGGATTCGGAATTAGGGTGGCTGGCGTCCGGAATCCACCACTTCATAGAGCTGTGCCTTTGGCAGGTCACTAATCGCCCACCGCCTCA